TTTTAGAGAAAGAAGAGGACCTGGGGCTGCAGTATTAACTTGCTGTTAGAAATAAAAGACCCTAAGAAAGAGCAAAGCAATCAAGGAAATAGAGATGAGAGCAGAGGCGATAGAAACATTGGTGTTCCTAGTGAAGGACCCAGGAATGAGGTTCATCTGAAGACTGTAATGACAATGGAGCCATTGACGACGACAAAAGGCTAGAAAGCTTACTCTGCAGAGAATGAAAAATGCCACCCCACATTCACTGAAAGGGTGGTGCTATTTCATTTAGATTACGGACAGAGATATACTAGATAAATATCTCCTCAGACTCTCCCTTTACCTTGTATCTATCATTGTAAAGACAGTTTGGAAGGAAATTATTTGAATAATCATCTAGAAGAATCTTCAGGAATCATAAAACCAACATGAAAGACTATTACACCAAGGAACACTTTGGGAAAGTTATGTTGAATGCAAATATGCAGGAACTCATAACTAACTAGCCCTTTTAATGTTTTCATTAAATAGCTTTCTGTTTAAGGAAGCACAAGTAAAATCAACAGCACAATCCTAGTCTTAATCTCACTCTTATTTTTCACGATCACACTTAAAGATCTAATCTATGTGTACTGGAACACTGCTATCAATAACTGCTATATAATGAGCTCAATATTCTATCCCAATAAATCTCAGACTTCTTGGGGAGCTTAATAAAATGTAGATTCTTGGGCTCCACCCCAGAGCAAATGAAATAAAATTTGTGGAGATGAGGCTTTGGAATACAAATTAAGCTCTCAGAGTAATTCTTAAATAAATTACAGTTTGGGAACCACTGCTTTAAATTTTGCGCTTGGACAGAATATGTTCCCGATAGGAGTCTAATCTGTATTTGTTGAGAATCAACTCAGGGGTTATCTTCTCCAGAAAGATTTTTCTGAACTCCATGTTGTACTTCCCAACTAACTAAACCTGTATCATTGTGTGCGATTTTCCTACCTTAGAATGCAAGCTCCATGAGGAAAAAGAGGGTCCAATTTATTACCTCAGTATCTGTAGCCCTTAGAATAACAACATGGCACACAGTAGGTACTCTTATATGTGAAATGAAGGAATAAATAAATCCATGCATTACACAAAATTCATAAAAAGTGACACTTATGTAACACTATTGATTTCTTCCATAGGGGATTTAGCTCAATTCAGTATATATCATGTGCCTAGTATGAGTGAGGGGCACATAAAGATAATAAGACAAGGCATTAAGTACTATTAAGGGGAAAAGAAAAACATATGCAATAAAATTAGCTGTAATCCAGTTAAATCTTAATAAAGGGCACAGAAGAAACAAATAAATTGCAATGACAGCCCAAGAGTCTCTCCTCTCACTGTTGATACGGGCAAGATACAGGTTAATGGATATGAGCTATATCCACTTCATAGGGCAGAAAGGTGATCACCTATGATTAAAACATCCTGGATTTCCAAAAATATACAAGAAGTAAAATAAACTGATTAATTACACTTTCAGAATACAAGTATAGGCTAAACTGGCAGAGTAAGTTAGATCACCAAGCCTTTGAAATATCAAAATCCATGAATATTAAACACACAAAAGTACCATGTGTCCTGAGGGCAAAACCAATCTCAAATCATCTTTTCTTCTCTGTCTTGCATTTCTCTTTCCTAAGCTCTGTTTCTCTCTCTCTCTTTTTTCAAGTTCTGCCATTAAATTGAGGTGGGAGGGGTTACTGATGAATATACTGCAGTTCTGTTTTTCTTGCAGCTACTAAAGAGGGAGGCAGCTGCATGGTACGGGTTTTAGGGTAACTTATACCTGCATTCAACTGCAGTTCTCCTGCTTACTTGCTGGACGACCTTGAGCAAGTCTGCTTAACCTCTATGCTGTAGTTTCTTCATCTCTACAATGTTGATAATATGACTTACCTCACAGTATTGTTGGAAGAATCAAAGTAAAATTTCTGTGCTAGATCTTAGTTAATTATAGCAGTTACCATAATTGTTATTATGCATTTTGGTGGACACATGATGTTTTAAAGATTTTTTAAAATGCTCCACATCATGTTCAACTTTGTGCTCAATATGGAGTTTGGCTGGGGACGGTGATACTGATGGCCATGGAAGAAATGGGGACAGTGAATGGGGAAAAATAGAGTTTTGTATAATAATTATCAATGTGAAATAATATAACTATCAATGAGAACAATTTCTATAAATTGCCTATGTAGTCTATGCATGAAAGTGACCATTTTATACAAGTGGATTTGTGTTATTTCTTCATATCTGGATAAAGACCTTCTACAAAATTTATTGGTGACTAGTGCTCTTAATTCATCTGAAATTTGTACCTTCAAAGAGCCTATCTCTCGGTTCACTTGAAAAACTCTGATATCAATTGGTCTCCAACTCATCTAGAAGAACACCCACAATTCTATGACCTCTTTCCCTACTGGTGCTATCTTACTTTGCAAGCACTGATTACATTTCTGATTCAATTGAAAAGTGAAAGAAAAATTATGATGATATCAAGAAAATAATTTAAAATATAGCCCTAGGTATCTGTGCTAGGCTGGATGAAGCTGCCTGACAAGGCCCTACACTTCAGCACATGGACATTCATCAGAGTAATTTAGGTATTTTCTCATTGGTTGTTCTTTTTTAAAATTGTGGTCCAATTTGTTGTTTTTGTAACTAAATATAACATTACTGAGAACTCTCTGGATGCACAGTAAGAAAATATGCAAATGGATTTCATATAAAATGTGGAGAGTACAGAATACACAAGACCGTAGAAGAAAACTTCTGAAAGGTATAAGGATATTACACTACAATTCTTTGCTGATTTGCAGTACACTTGGTTTCCTGGGCAGTAATAAATAACTACATTTTGTAGTTCATTTGGGAGACAAATAAAGGCCTGTAATTCCAGGCTCAGGAATTACAAGAATGCCAGTCAATTGCTGTATTTGGACTATCTCCTTTTATTATAAAACTTAGGGGATTTTAAGAAAACAATAAGAAAGTGGGTTATCTTTCTCAGGTTTCTGAGACAAACACCTGCTACCCACCAGTGGGCCCCTATTTCCTATAATTACTGAGATATAAGATTTTGCCTTTAAGCCTTCATGCAAATTCAAGCACACAAAAGAGCAGTTGTACTGCCTTGTACATTAGATTCAGTAGAGTGAAGTGGGTCTCTTGAGCCTTTTCTAATCTTTTTCTAAAAGAATAGACAAACTTTTGGGAGTAATTACTCTAAGTTGTGTCAATCCATAGGACAAAAAAGATACATATTTTGCTATGTGAGGAGGAGAATGGCAGCAAATAGCACCTCAAACCAAATATAATTTCTAGTCAATTATACATAGAGGAGAAAAATAATCTACAAACCTGATAAATGTTTTTCTATTTAGTTATCTGAAAAAGCCAGGGCAACTTCATTTTTACACACATGCATGACTGTGTGTATGTGTGCAGCATCCACACATGTACACAGATACACATACACTTAATTCATAATCTTTGAGGATTTGGTAGCAGGGGTGGAGAGAGGGTCCTTCTTGAAAGTTTTTAAGATTGTTAATTAATTTTTAGGCAATATTGGATTTGATACTTACACCAGGCAAATCCCCAAAGACATATCAGAGCATACACACACAGTTCTGGGCATAGTCTAAAGAAAGATAGATTTAACAGTAACAGCTACCTAAATCTTGTCCTTGCTGAAGGAAAAAAGCACCAAGCTGGTTTTACAATGGTGTAATTAGGCTTTGTTACAGCTACAAATAATACCGATGACTCTTTTTATTAGGAAGAGTCCAGTTAGCAATGCAGCCGGTTGTTCCAAAGCCAGAACCGATACTTGTAGCATCAGATGCCTAAATCTAATTTCTCAGTAAAACCTATACAACCCTCTCAAGGTTCTTGTTCCATACTGCTGCTGAAAATACTTCCATGAGATAGGCCATTTGATTTATGTTCTAACTTTATAACTTAAATCACTTATAAAAAATGCTGGAAAAAGCTGATTAATGTAACAATAAAAGACTGAACTTTTTCCTTTAATGGACTCTATAACATTTATTCTTCAGCCTCATGTCATCCAATATCACATTTGTATTTTACCTCACAATTCATGTGTGTGAATGCAGAGAGCTGCCATTTTTTTAAATCTAAAATATATTAGGAGTTTACTGTCCTTTTGGATTTCTTTTAAGGCCTTTCCGTACAGCCCAGTTGAAATAATATTTATGCATGGTTTTGTTATTATGATAGTAACAAGTCCTAGCTTACAATAATATATAGTAATTAGTTGGGACTAGGAAAAACGATACACTTCTTTTTAGTAATTGGCAAATAGTTTGTTTAGTTTAACTAGAAATTAGAAAGAAAAAATTATTTTTCATATCTACAAAACATACTCAATAAAGTATATGCATAAAATTATATACTGAATAACAAGCAAAATTATAAAGAAAACAGCTTATAATATTCCTGATTAATAAGAGTTCCTAAATATAAAAGCAACAAATGAAAATGCCATGTGATTTAAAAAAAAACAGCACATTTTACATACTTCAGAGGAAATAAAGAGCTTGTGATACTGTTCGGAGGAATCTTTCCTTTATAAAAATCGAAGGCCTAATTTTGCAAATACAACTTTCAAGCTGTATGAGCAGATGTAACTGACATGAAAGGCACAGGATGACATCACGTTGAACGCATCTGTGAATTTCATAAAATCTAGCCACAAGTCTCTAGAAACTTCATAAGGAATCTCAGGACTATTTTGAACATGATGTTCTGGTTCAAACTGAGAACTGGAGAGTCTTTGTATCACAAATACAAACTGAAGTAAGAGTGAAGATTTAGAGAGAGAAGAATTTATTTGAATGCTACCTGCTTTATGCAGTGCTGGTTACTAAACACTCAGAGCAGATCATTAAAATTTTCTTTAACTTAAATTGTTTTCAATTTTCTACAGCTTATCTACTATATTTTTTAGTTTGTAAAAAATGCATTTGCACATTACTACAACTTTAAAGAGTCGACCATTGAAAGAAATTTTAATGTAAGGTCCTGTTCTATTAGCTTCCTACATTGGAATACAAGAATACAGGAAGTGCTTTCAACAGAAAGTTACATAGTTCTACAGTACAACCTGTCTAGAAGACTTGCAAGGGACCAGTACAGTGACTTGGTCTCTTTGGATCAGGCAAAAGCAGAGGCAAATGAAGTAATGAGTTTTAAAAATAACATTAAAAAATACCTTTACGACAATGAAATCTTGCTTGCACTCAGATTTAGTGCTACTGAGAAGAACGGAGGCATGAAGAAACTAAGTGCATAAAGGAAAAACATCAGAAATAAAACAATTTTCAATGTGACTGAAACCCTTCACCATCAGCTATGACTTACAATAGAGCTGGAGAACTACTTTCTCATATGAAAGCACATTTCAAACATCAGGTACAAGCCAGTCAAAATGTTTTACGGATTATATGTAGTGTGATACTCAAATAGTGTTGCAACTAAAATTCTCATTAAAACATCATTTATAATTTTGATTTTTGATAGAATAAATGACTGGCTCTTTTGCTAAAGTAAAATTAACTTCAACCCAAAAGCATGTTCTGAAAGCTCCAGAGGACTGTTAATTTAACAGTGACAATATTAGTTTTTCATCTTCCCAAACAAGCTCTACTGGAGATATAGCCTTTCTTCACTTATGTCAGTATTAGATATTCTACCACAGAACTTAAAACATTTTGGTGGAATGCTGAAGATGATTCTTCAAAGAATAACTCTTCTAATGGTGGCTAGGTAAACACAGGAACGCTGTCCCTGGAAATAATGGCGCCTGGGGCTGCAAATCTTGTTCTGACCATCATGACTCCAGCAACGCGTGCCATCTGCAAACTTGCTGTCCTTTCGACTCTTTCATTTCAGTCCAGTGATTGAGCTCCTCTTCTCCGGAGCTGTTCAGACCTAAAGCAATCCAGCCGATCATCTCTTTTCTTTTCATGCTGCGTTTGTTATACACAGACAGTATAAGTGTCACGTCAGAAAGCTGAAATAGGGCCACTTGAAATACAAAAGTTTCCTTGTATACTGGGTTTGGCTGCCCTCTGCGGATGGATGTCTTGCATTTAGACATTTCTTGACCCATGGAATTCAGTAGAGTTAATTTAACATATGTATCTATAGGGGAAAAAAAAACAACATACCACAAATATCATTTGAAATCAACTCAAAACATCTTTTTTGTAACATCTGCTGAGAAGATTAAGTATTTGTATTTTATAAGGATATGGTGTATACCATGTTTAATGGAAATTCAACTAATTCCATTTTGATGTAGGTGCTTGTAAAATGTGACAGGTACAGAGAATGCTAAGTAGGCACAAATCTTTTGGGGGCACTAGCATCTTAACCTCACTATTTCTACATTATGATTAGAATTTAAAGGTATACCTCATAATCCTTCCTCCACCCTCCCACCCACTCCTTGACCTCCCACGACCACCCCGCCCATCCCATCCCCGTTTAGCTTCACTAAGCAGGACATCATAGCATTAATAAACACTTAGCAAGCTCAATTAGCCACAACACTGTAAAGCATTCCACTGTGTTTTCAGAGAATAAGAATAAACAAACAAATAGAAATGAAGGCAAATGGTAGAGAGGATAAGAGGAAGACAAGAATGCAAAGATGACATCAAAACAGCTTAGGATGAAATGTCAAAAAAATCTCTGCATGGATGTGGTTTTTAATTATATTTTAAAACCAGTTAAGGACCAAAATGACGCCAAATGCATTAAGGGCTCAAAGTTCAGCAAATCAAGTAAAACTTTCTCCTGGTTTCATGCAACAGTACATTTAATGTGCTTTTTGGATAGTCAAAATAAACACTATAGGATTCCTTTTGACACAATTCAATGCCAAATTTTAAGTACGGTATCTTAACTATTTTCATGAATTATAAAAAAAGTTGATGTGATGTTTAGTGTACAAAGTGAAACATGACAGGTCTTTGCCTGATTATTTGGGAGATAAACCCTCTCTTCATACAACTGTGTTTCTAAATTCTTTTGACTCATGCAAATGATCTTCAGCATGTTGATCCATCATGTGTACTTCATATCAAAATTTCAATTAATTTTAATGAAAATTGCAATATTTCTCATGAAGTAACTTCTGTTGTATGAATCAAAATATAATGAATGAAAAAATAAAACCTTAAATTTAAAAAGTTTTGCTTATTTTATACTCTGAATACCATCATCCATAATCAGAGATAAATTCTAAGTTAGTTTTATTTAAAGTACCACAGATAGTAAATGTGCATTTTTTTGAAACCAACATGGTGGACAGCTTCACTGCTGGCAAGTTTTAGGGTATTTTGTTTTTGCATGAAAAGACAACATCCAATTAGCCTCTACAGGAACTCACCTCGGATTATATAAACCTGTCCACCTATCAAGTGTTTTAGACAACAGAACAGTCCATCTGACAACAGGGGGTGGAAAGCAGTAAAAGAAATAATGACCAGATGTCAATTGTTGGGTGAAAGAGGGTCAAAGGTTAGAATTAAAGAGGAAACACTGTTCACTGGAGTGGAAGAACACAAAACTTTAGCATTCTAATTCAGGTAGAGGGTGAACAAAAGGGTTGTTGGGTAAAATTCATGAAAGGAGAATTTTTAAGGTCTTTGTGTAATGTTAAACAAAAATCACACTGTTTTAAGGGGGGCATCTTTATAATGATATCCTCTTGGTCTAAAGCACATTGAACATAGAATCATGCAAATTATCAGACTATATGAGACTCAATAAAAGTCATTATAGGATAATTCTTATTACTATTCTAAATTTTTAAGTTTATCCATGCAATATTTAATATTTTAAATTTCTTATTACTCTCAATACAATATAAAATTAAGTTATGAAAAACAAAAGAGAACTACCAAAAATTTTGCTCTTGAACATTGCTATTGTTTCTTTGGGTAAAAATTGTATTACTCAGTCTATACCACAGTTCAAAACTTAGTACCTAGGTATGTACAAAGGGTCACAATCTTACATAATATATACAGTATAAGATGAACTGATAAAACTGTCTAATATTTTACTTTATAAATGTTCCATATAACTAATTTTAATGTTGACTTATATTTAACTGAACATACTAATACTGAAGATCTAATTCTAAAATAATGGCTATTTCTTTAACTTACTCTTTAAATTCAGAAAGTTTTCCTTTTTGTTGTGGCTGCTAATCTCTTACCCTGTTTATTATCAGCCCTGCCTCTACCCCGTTCCCTTCATTTTAGTTCTGATTAGTGATTTCTCTTTCTATCAAAATGGTGGAACAGGGACACAAAGGCAAACTATTTTCATTTCACTATTTTTTAGAATCTCAAGTGAAATGTTTGTCAAAAATTAAACTATTAGCTAAAGCAAGAATGAATGGCAAACTGAGCTTGTGGCTACACGCAACTCCAAAAGCATCTTATTTGTTACAATTTTAAAAACTTTTTTCACTCTGAATATCTAAATGCTGGGTGTACACTGGCCCATTTGTCACAGGCCTCACCAGGCGCCTTATCTTTCATCTACACATTTTGCTCATTTAAGTTACTTCCCAGGCCGTTAGAGTGCGCATTCTAAGTACGCAATAATGAAGATAACCAAGTAGCTGTTTTTCTTTCCTCCCTCTGATTATTTCCTTCTGAAAAGAGAAAGGGGACAGTAAGTCCCTCCTTCTTTTATGCTCCTTTATCTGATTTGAGTCTCACAGTTCCCTGTGAGAGACACAACCTTAATCTTATGTATAAGTAAACAGACGTAAGGGAGATAGGTCACCTGTCCAAGGGTAGAAATAGAAACATAATTTTGGCCTTCTGACTTTTAATTTAGGGATAGATACATTTCATGATGTACCTAAGAAGCAAGGTTTCCAATACCACTTAGGGCAAACCAAATTTGTATATATGACTTCTCATTTTGGTTGAAAAAAAAAGTTTTAGGACATTTAGAAGTTAATTTATTTCAAGGGTGGAAAAAGTTTCCCCTCCTTCAAGAATTATCTGATACTTGGAGTAAAAGATTGCTTTAAGTAAGTCTGAGAGAAATCTTTAAACAAATTTAAGGTGGCCATTATTACTTAAAATTTCCTTTCAAATGTTTAGTTTAGGACATTAACAGCTTTACTTTAGACAAGTACAAAGAAGCTGCTACCTTCTGAGCTCATTTCCACAGATATCAACAAATAATTCTGGGCATACACTGGGTGACAATTTCTCTGTACTCCTATAACTTACCTCCACCCTTTGAGCTGGGAGAGAGATAAGGAAACAAGAGTGAGAGGCATAGAGACAGGGCAGAGGTATACCATCTAGCTTTCCCTTCCTAGTATTTAGGGTAAATATAAAAATATTCCTTATTTTGTTTGTCCTGGTTACGCCAAAGTACATTCCACTTAAGAAGACACTGGTGGCAGTACTGATTTATAATTTTAAAGGAAGAAAAATGTGAAAAAACAGTTTCTTGTTAAACTGTTAAGGGAGAAAAGAAGGAAAAATATAGAAATTTATACATTAGTTTATAGTTCTGCATGCAGACAGAAAGCACAATATCAATCTTCAGTTAACAGCAATAACCATACATATTCCTGATCATACTTATGGAATAGTTAACTTTAAAAGACCCTGTAACTTCTTTCTGGCATTAGAACATAATGGCCGTGATAGGGAGAATTTATTCTGTTGACATTAGAAAAATTAAAAGTCTTGACACCTTACAATTAATGTTTTGAATTTCGAATTTTTCTACTTCCCAAATGACTGGAAATAGAAAAAATGAAACAGATTAGCTGATGATTATTACACCATTTCATTCTGATCGGTTAAGACTAAATGATAGGATTGAAGTCCCTAACACTGAGATCCCCATACGTGCAGAAAACATTAGAATTTTGAAAAATATTTTTCACTCACTGGGTGGTCTGTTTGCTGCCAAGTTTTTGAAGTGGCTGCCTTTTATGACTTCTGCTGAGAGCCTTCCAGTAGTAGCGTTATAAAGTAAGCCAATGAGAATTTCTGGAACTGAGCCATGTTCAAGCGACTGACAGGAAGATGTGCTTCCACTACAGGACACTTCTGACACGCTCACTTGGGAGTCACAACCCTGTAACCAAAAGTGAAATCTGTATAGCATTTTGTATAAGATACACTGTTAATGCCGTGTTTATTGGAATTAGTCAAGTAAACCACAATAAAGATAAGAGTTGCAAGCAAAACTCTAGATTAGAAATGTTCTCAGTATATTTTAGTCTCTGGATCTCTTTTCATCATACAGCAGTCAAAGAAATAACAGGGGATGAGGTTTTATAAATCCCAAGATATTTACATACAAAACAGAGATTCTTAAACTCATGGATGTTAGTGAACTTCTTAATGTGAAAAATTGTTGTATAAAGCCTTATTGACCTTAAAAGACAGAGATATTTACACTCAATTACATTAAATGTAAATGTCTTAACAATATCTTTAAAGACAAAGATTGGCACACTTTCATTAAATAAATAAGATAAAATAATTTTCTATTTATAAACCATTATGTAAAACACAGAGATAGACAGTTGAAAAGAAAAGGATGGGAAAAAACTACGGAAAAAAAAAGGAAAACTGGTATAGTAATGTTAGTATTAGTGAAGGTTATCTTTAAGGCAATAACCATTACTTAGAGATGAAGAAATACACTCAATAGTGATAAAACTTTCAATTTACCAGGAAGATAAAATAATTCCATATTTGCATGCATTAATAACATGGGTTCAAAATACAGAAACCTAAAAAATGCCATAACTAGAAACAGATAAATTCACAACCAGTAGAGACTTCAGCATACTTGTTTCAGTAACTGACCAAACATGCAGACAAATACAGGAAAAGGATGTAGAAGATCTGAATATCACGATAAGGAAATTCACCTAATGGTAATATACAGAACACCGTATCTTACAGAATATACATTTTCTCAGGCTCACAGTGGAATTCTTATAAAAATACACAAAAATAAAGCAAATAACAATGGATTTCAAATAACGGGAATCATTCAGAATGATTTTTAATCAACTAGAAATATAAGCCATCTTCTATAGAAACAGTTCCTATATATTGGGAAATTAAGGATATAGTTCTAAACAGCCTATGGGTAACTAAATCATAATGAAAATAAGTTACCTGAAAACACTAATAAAAACAGATAAATGTTGGAGAGTCCAGCATTAAGACTCTTTTTGCTATTAAGCAGAAAAAGAGAAAAGAGAATTTATGGTTTAAACCACATACCAGTAATGAAAAAGGAGACATTACTACATATCCTATAGACCATAAAAAGGTAAAAACAATAGCATGAACAGCTGTTCACGGATGAGTTAGTTACATAAGAAGGTAAAACTTTTAAATCTAAACATTTCTCAATGCCAGTAACAAATCTGAAAATAAAATTTAAAGATAGGATTTATTAGAGTATGAAATATAAAATATCTATGAATAACTATAATAAATGATATTAAAAGGCCTCTATACAGAAAACTGTAAATATTAGTGAGAGAAATGTAAAAGTGCTACATATACTAGTTGATATACTAAATGGCTCAATTTTATAATAATCTCTCTAAATTGCTCGATAGATTAAATGTAATCACAATAAAAATCTCAACAGGTTTGTAGAACTCAACAAACTAATTTTAAAATATATGTGGAATACACATTAAATGGAATATTATTCAGCTTTAAAAAAGAAGGAAATATCTCCATGATAACAACATGGATGAAACTGGAGGACATTATTAAGTGAAATAAACTAGTCATAGACATTTATTGCATGATTCTGTATTATACATTTAAAATTTGTTAAAGGGAGATGGTAAATGTCTTACCACAATAAAAAAATAAATTAGTATATAAGATAGAAGACCCTGCTCTAGTATCAAAATTTATATTTTTAATTATACTTTATTGATTATGCTCTTACAGTTATCTCAGTTTTTACTCTTTTCCTCCCTCCACCCAGCATACCTCATTCCCTCAGGCAATACACACACCTTTGTTCATGACCATGGATCATGCATATAGGTTCTTTGGCTACTTCTTTCCTACACCAAACTTTACATGCAATTGGCTGTTCTGTAACTACCTATTAATCCCCTCACCTCTTCACCCATTCTCCCATATCCCCTTTTCATTTGGCAACCATCAAAATGCTCTCCATATCCATGATTCTGTCCCTGTTCTTCTTGTTGCTTAGTTTGTTTTTTTAGATTCAACTGTTGTTAGATATGCATTTATTGCCATTTTATTATTCATAGTTTTGATCTTCTTTTCTTAAACAAGTCCCTTTAACATTTCATATAATAATGGTTTGATGATGATGAACTCCTTTAGTTTTTTCTTGTCGGAGAAGCTCTTCATCTGCCCTTTGATTCTAAATGATAGCTATAATGGATAGAGCAATCTTGGCTGTTTTGAATATTCTTTGCCAATCCCTTCTAGCCTGCCAAGTTTCTTTTGAGAAATCAGCTGACAGTCTTATGGGAACTCCTTTGTAGGTAACTGTCTCCTTTTCTCTTGCTGCTTTTAAGATTTTATTTTTATCTTTAATCTCTGGCATTTTAACTATGATGTGTCTTAGGGTGGGCCTCTTTGCATCCATCTTGTTCGGGCCTCTGTGTGCTTCCTGGACCTGCATGTCTATTTCCTTCACCAAATTAGGGAAGTTTCCTTTCAATTTTTTTATTCACGTAGATTTCCAATTTCTTACTCTTTCTCCTCTCCTTCTGGCACCCTTTTGAAGTGAATGTTGGACCTCTTGAAGTTGTCCCAGAGGCTGCTTATACTGTCCTCATTTTGGGGGTTCTTTTTTCTTCTTTTTGTTATGATTGGTTGTTTTTTTGGCTTTCTTATGTTCTAAATCATTGATTTGATTCTCAGTTTCATCCATTCTATGATGGTTTCCTTGTAAATTGTTCTTTGTTTCAATTAGTGTACCCTTCGTTTCTAACTGGATCTTTTTTATGCAGTTGAGGTCCTCACTAAGTTCCTTAAGCATCCTTAAACAGTGTTTTGAACTCTGCCTCTTATGGATTTCTTATCTCCATTTTGTTTAGTTATTTTTCTGGAGTTTTGAGCTTTCATTTGGGCCATGTTTCTTTGTCTCCTTGTTTTGGCAGCCTTGTGGTGTTTGTTTTGGTGTATTAGGTAGAGCTGTTATGACTCCATGTACTGGTAGTGTGGCCTCATGTAGTAGGAGTCCTGTAAGGTCCAGTGGCACAGCCTCCCCTTTCACCCAAGCTGTGTACTTGAGGTGTGCCTTTCATGTGGGATGAGTATACCCTCTTCCTATAGTTGAGCCTTGATTGCTGCTGGCAAGTCAATGGGAGGGATTTACCCAGGCCAGTTAGCTTCAAGGACTGGCTGTGCCCACTGACCACCAGACTATACCCTCTGTGGACGATCAGCTGGGCAGAAGCAGGGTGGTAGTGCTCTGTGTGGTCTGTAGCTGTCCACTGGCTCTGGTGTGCAGGCCCTGTGTTTCCCATGTGGTGCAGGCCAAGGTCAACCCCACCTGTGTTTTGCCCAGGAGACCCTGCCTGAGCTATAAAGCAATCTGAGTTGTCTGCTACTTGTGCTGGGCTTGGAGATTCCCAGGTGAAGCCAAGCTATGAATCTAGGCTGGCTGCTGCTAGTGCCACGTCTGGGGCCACTCAGCAAGTAGTTCAGGGGCCTGGGGGCTCACTGAAGCTGGCTGTTGCTTTTTTGAAAGGATTTAGGAAGCTACGAAACATGAGCCAAGACCAGCCATTCATAAGGAAAAACAGCTTGGGTGGGCCTCTGTGCTGAGTGGGATGGAGTCTCGGGATATCCAGGGTGGGTCAGTGTTAGCCTGGTTGATGGAGTCTCAGATATGGCACGAGCCTACCAGCTCTGTGGCTCTGTGAGGGGAGGGTTCAGAAAAGGGACAATGGCTTCTGTCAACCTTTCTGCCTGGGAGAAAGCAGTCCCCTAGCTCCTGCTTTGATGCCAGACACTTCAGTTCCTCCTTGTATGCTACTGGTGCCTTTCAAGCTGCTTCCCTGGTGCTGGAGCTCAAAGGGAGTGTCTGATTAGGTCTGTGAGTGGGTTCTTTAAGAGGAACTGCTTGGGACTCCAGAACTTTCTTCCACTGACTCAATCCCTGCTGGTGTTTGCAGCCATAAGTTATGGTATCTTACCTCCCTGGCACTGGAACCCTGGGCTAGGGTCCTGGTCTGGGTCTGGGACTCCTCGTTCCTGATATATCTTTCCTGAATTTAAATCCACCACACATGGATGTGGGGCCAGCCTGTTCCATGTTTCTGCCCCTCCTATTAGTCTGGACGGATGTGGTTTCTTTACTTCTATAGTTGTGAGACTTCCATTCAACTCTATTTCTGACTGTTCTGAGTGATGGTTGTTCTACATTTTAGTTGTAATTTTGATGTGGTTGTGTGAGGAGGTCAGCAATGTTTACCTATCTCAAAACTGTTATAAAGCTGTATTATTTAAGACAGTGACAAAAAACAATGTAGAACAGACTAAGAGAATAGAAAGCCCACAAATTAATCTATGCATATATAGACACTTAATTTACAACGAATGTGAAACGCCAGGCAGTGGGGAAAGGATAATCTTTTTAATATATAGTGGTAGGCAACTGGTTATCCACATAGAAATAAATGACAACCCCTGCCTCAAATCATACCCAAATTTCAATTCTGGATCTAAATGTAAAAGTTAAAATAATAAGTCTATAAATTAACATAGGGGGCTGTATTTATGATTTCTGGGTAGGGAAAGGATTGCTCAAGAGGACACAAAAGCATTAATCATAAAACAAAAGTTTGGTGAATCCAGTAACATGAAAATCAAGAATTTTTGATCTTCCACAGAGATTTGCAGGATGATGAAAAGGCAAACAAACCCATGGGAGAAGAGTTCTGTAATACAAATATTTCCATAATTAGTTCAAATCCAGAATATGTAAAGAACACCTATAAATCAGTAAGAAAAAAACATAGTATAAAAACAGCCAGACAACTGAACTAGCAATTTCATAAAAGAATGGCCAATAAATGTATGAAAATGATGTCCAACTTCATTAGT